GGGTAGGGTGGGGCGGGAGTGGCAGGAGGAATGCTGAGGACATTGGTGGTGGAAAATGTACTCTGGTGGAGGGATGGGTGTTCAATCATTGTATGACTAAAACTCAATCATGAAAGCTTTGTAACTATATCTCACAGTGGTTCAATAAAAAATAAAATAAAATTTTTTAAAATTTTAAAAAGAAAGTTTTCAATGGAGTACTGGTCTCTGGAACATTGACCCTTCCTTCTTTCTGAGTCACACTTATCCTGTCTGCGACTCTCTAGCTGTTCCAAGAGTCAGCAAGGCCTCAACCAAGAGGCAGGGGCAGCCCTTCCTCCTGGCATGCAGAAGTGTAGCCTGGTGCACACCCTTAATTTTCAGAGATGTCTTTTCAATATGGTTTGCTTGTTTCCAGGGTACACAGAGGTTCGGAGCACTTTGGTACTTAGTGTATGCTTGTGTGCTCCAGTTGTAACAGTCTCATTTTTGGTCATTCTCTCAAAGAGACCAAGTCCTCACAAGGCATAAATTGATTCCCCGTCCCCATTCATATTTAAAGAGCTACAGCATCTAGCTCAACATTCTTGACAGAGCCACATAAAATAAAGACAAATGAACCCAAGACTCTCGAGCTATCCTCTGAACCAGGAAGCTGTCAAGCTGTCTGGAGCTACATCCGGCTACATCTCAGGAAAACCAAGGTGAACATGAAGCACAGTGTAGGTCATAGGACCACTGCCTCTAATAAGATGATAGAGGGTCTGAGCTATGCCAGGACCCAACCTAGGATGAGAGAACAGTCTATGGCAGTAGTGGGCCTCAGTCAAAGTACAGCCTATGTTTTCCCAAGCCAGGACCAGGAGTCCCTTCCCATAAGTGTTCCAGGACAGCACATTTATCCTCAGGGCCTCTCACATCAATGGATGATACTGCTAGATGTCATCCTGGGTGGGAACAAGGATACACTGTTTAGTGTATGGACTGGATGGATAACTACCACCCTATAGGACAACCCGGGAAGGTGGGAGCAAGACCCACAGCAAAGATCAGGAGAGTCACACTAAATGTGTATGTGGAATGGGACAGAGTAAAAAGCCAGCAAGAAGGAAGGAATCAAGTGTCCTCTGCACAGAAATGGATCTTCCTTTCCTTTCCTTTCCCAGACCAGACACTCAGGTGTTGGGGAGGAACAAGTCTGTAGACTCCATCCAGAGATAAGGATGGGGCCTGCCATAGCCAGACAAGGAATGAACCTCCACTGTTACAATCTTTTGTGGTTTAAAAAGATATATATTTTTCTCTTAATTATGATAACTGGGGGAAAGGGATTGCTTAATACATACAACTAAAACATTTTGTATAAAATATATATCAATTTTTAAAATCACATTTAAAAATGAAATGCCATGCATAAAATTCGTATCTAGAATAGCTATCATGACAGTAATTTAAATTCTAAAGAAATATAAGTGAGACTAACTCTCTGTGTTTTTTAATATAGGTTTCTACTTCACACTATTTCTGAAGAGTCAAATCTATAAAGACCTTTCCCCACATTTCCCCAACTAGAAGTTGTAGAAATTCTATAAAAGTGGAACAACAATTTGTCATCAATGACCTCTGAGTAAACAAAAATATTTTTCTTTCCTTTCCTTTTTTTCTTATTTTACAGAGGTGTTACCAAATAGTGCTTAGGGGTTCTGGGGGCTATTCATAGCAGCAGTGGTGCTGCTCGGGTCCAGTGGATCTGAAGGCCACCAGGGTCACCCCAGTGTAGTGAAGTGTGTAAGGGGATGATGGTGGTATATTGAACTCTGTACCTGGCACATGCAAGGTATTTGTGCCTGATCCCTGAGCCCTCATCTGTATTGTTCAACTCTCTAAAATTGAGACAAAATATCAGTATCTCAGACATAATACTTCAAATCAGTATTTCTCAAATGGAGGTTATATAGTTCCCTGAGGGCCTCAGGATATTCCCAGAGTACCGCAGATGAAAATCTCACAAATGGGGGTGACCCATGGCACAAGACTGGGAAGTAAAGAAAACAGTGAAGTGACAAAACTATCAAAATACTTCTCTATATAACCTCAGTAAAGGTATTTTAAGTTCACAACTTACCTCAAAAAGAACATGATGGGGGCTGGAGTGATAGCACAATGGGTAGGGTGTTTGCCTTGTATGCGGCCCAACCTGGGTTCGATTCCCAGAATCCCCTGAGCACGGCCAGGAGTAATTCCTGAGTGCATAAACCAGGAGTAACCCCTGTGCATCGCTGGGTGTAACCCAAAAAGAAAAAGGAAAAAAAGTACATGATGCCTCTAAATCTCCCCAGGTTAGCCCGTCTGTGCCAAGAACTCTGGGGTCTTCTCAGAATGGGGGAAGGCAGATTCCCTTTCCTGCCTAAAAGCCCAGCAGCCTGCAGCCGCACCCAACACACTCCAACATAGAAACACATGGCCCTGCTTCACAACTAACCTCATCAAGCAGCCAAGCCACCACATTATTTCAGCTCCTAGACTCCTGAGCATCCAGCCAAGTAAATCCTCAGACAATGGCTTCCATTATAACACCGTAATGAGATATAATAATCATCACAAATTGACTTGTATTGATCTAAGTTTTGATAGTTCCCGTTGCCTTTGTGTTGTAGCCAACAATCTGAAGTAAATATTTTTTGTACTTGCTAAGAGAGCAGGCTGGGGTGATGGGTGAGAAACTGGGGACACTGGAAAGACTGGTGTTGAAACACTTAATGCCTGAGATGGTATTATGACTTGGTAAATCATGGTATTATAATGAGATATTTAAAAATAGCACTGTAGCACTGTCCTTCCGTTGTTCATCAATTTGCTCGATCGGGCACCAGTAACGTCTCCATTGTGAGACTTCTTACTGTGTTTGGCATATCAAATACGCCATGGAGAGCTTGCCAGGCTCTGCCATGCAGGTGGGATACTCTCGGTAGCTTGCCAGGCTCTCCAAGAGGGACAGAGGAATCGAACTCGGGTCGGCCTCATGCAAGGCAAACGCCCTACCCACTGTGCTATCGCTCCAGCCCATTTAAAAGTAATTATACAAATAAATTTAAAATAAAACCAAATATCTTCATACAAAAATGAATATGTTAAGCTCATTCATAAATAATCACATAAATAAAATTAACATGTTTTGGATTAAAGATAGCAATGAAATCTGAAAAACATCATGCTATAGAAAGCAAAATATTAAATTCATTTATCTAGTTATCATGCTGTTTAAGCTTCTAGCAGATTATAAGAGAGTATATAAAATCTGAACTCCAAAATAAAGTGGAAGCTAATTTTATTTGTGTTTCCCAGTACCCAAAAGAAGAGAGAGAGAACAGGGAGGAATGCCCTGCCACAGCGGCAGGGTGGGACGGGGGGGGGGGGGGGGGGGAGGATGGGGAGTCGGAGGGATGCTAGGACCCGTGGTGGGGGAGGATGGGCACTGGTGGAGGGATGGGTACTTGATCATTGTATAACTGAAACCCAAGCACAAAAATTTGTGAGTCTATAAGTGTACTTCATGGTGTTTCACTAATAAAAAAAAATTTAAAAAAAAATTTTATTTGTGTTTCCATTGGAAACTAATTTTATTTTGTTAAGTTGAATAAATGGTTTTAAAATGAGTACATGGGGCCAGGGATGTGGCTCAGCAGTAGAGTATCTGCCCACCATGTTATCAGGGCCTTAATTTGATCCCTGGCACCAAATTATAAAAAAGAAAATTGGTATGTGGCTGAAGTTGATGTAAAATCAATTCACATTATTTCTGTAATGGGATTTTAAAAGGGTAAAAGAAAAAAAATACCTTTCAGTGATCAAACCAAAAGTCTAACATAAATTCTTTCACACTGAATAGCGTTGGAAAAATAAGAATTATAAAGTATTCAAATTTGATAAAAGGAAAAAAATTAGGACTGGAGCAAAAAAGCAACAGTATGACAGTTAGGCTGCTTGCCCTATACACAGCTGTCTCAGGTTTGAGCCTCTGACCTGGTTTCAACCCCCGGTGTCCTATATGGTTCCCTGAGCCAGCAAGGAGTGAGTCCTGAATGCAGAGCCAAGAGTAACCCTAAGTACCACCAAGTAGGGTACAAAAACAAAGTCGGAAAATTAGAAGAAAATAATACTCTTTCTGAAACACTAAAAGATACCAATATAGAGTGTGTACCTCAAAGGTCACTGGTGTCGTGGCCCGTAACGTTCTTGAAAAATAAGAAAATTTAATTTTATTACTTCATCAGTATAACTTTAATCAGTAAGCATATTAATGTCACATATACTTTACATATATCTTTAAGAGCTGTGTTTTATAATACATCAAGAACATAGAATTGATAATTATTTTGTAATTAGACTGTATAACAAAGTTGATGATAACACTGTTTTGGTAAAAGAAACGCACCTTCTTTTTATTTTATTTTATTCTGGAGATTTATTTCGGTGTGTGTGTGTGTGTGTGTGTGTGTGGATTACACCTAATGGGGGTTTGAGGACTACTCCAGATTTTGTGCTTGGGGACTCATGTACAGCTAAGTAACAAATCCAGGATTGTCCCATGCAAAACATGCAATCAGCCCTTTTAGCTCTCTCCAGCCAGCACCTTCTTTTTAATCATTCCTATTCAGAAACAGTGAAAATGCTGTACATATGCAGTGAATCTGAGTAACATTTTTCATTTCTGAATCTGAGTAACATTTTTCATTTCTGATTCAAACCTGTAATGCTATCTATGACTGTTTTGATGATTACACAGTTCAACATAAAAATGCATCCCACTCATATTCTCAATAATAAGTCTGATTAGGCAGATAACCTCCCAATCATAAAAGCTTTTATTTTAAGACAAGCATGAAAATACAGCATGAAAAATCAGGCTTCTTATAAGTGGGATAAAACACACACACACACACACACACACACACACACAACTGTAAGAACTGCACATTTGACACCTACTGCATTTAAGGGCCATTCATCCCGTGTTCTTTCTCCTCTCTGAAGTGCTAGATTAAAGTGTGTCTACAGTAGAAAGTTACTAATAGGTTTAATATGAAAGAACCGTGTAGGAAAGCAAGAGTTTAGAGATAAGAAATCTCCAAATATCTTCTATTTTATGTTTTTATAACCTTTCTTTAAACAGAAAATATTTTATGTGCAACATAGGCAGATAGAATTAATTTACTTTCACTAAAACCCAATGAAATATATCAAATGTAAAATAAAACCCAAAGCCAACTACAGTAGCAGCAGTGATTACTGGAGCAGCTTGTGCAAAATTCCATGTTTTGCTATTTGTGCGCATCACAGTGGTCAGAAAAGAAATGTGCCAAAACTCCCTTTCCCATTCCACTTGAACTCGTTCCCCACAATTGAAACAAACATCTCCTGTGACATTAAGTTGTCATCGGCTTGTGTGATCCCCAGTTCACTCAACCTTTTCTTCTTCATCTGGCCTTTTTGTGTGGACGCTGCAACCAATTCATTTACAATTTCACAGTTGCCTTCGACTTGCTCAGAAAGGTCAGATTTGACATCACGCTCCATTTTACCAGCCGCGCACTGAATCAGCTCTTCTATATCCACTCTTCCGGGTGCCTCTGCCTCTTCATTTGTCTGCATTTTAAGTGTTTTATTTTCTAAAGAAACAACGTATACCACATAATGTTAATTATACTAACTCACCCATGGAGAAGACACCTATTGCTACAATAGAACTTTTGAGCTTCTTTTTTAAAAAAAAATTATTTTAGGCACCAGGATTTACAATATTGATAATGGCAGGGTTCTGTGTACAAAACATCCCATAACCACACCCTCCACCAGAGCACCAGAGTCAGTTTACCTCCATCACTGTCCCAGTGTACACCTACCACCACTGTCCTATTGCCTTCCCATGCCCCACCAAGGGATATACTTCCTACTAAAAAGATCAGTTCTCAGCTTCTGTTGCCTTTGGTTTCCTCACTATATCCATCGTCCTAGAGGCTTTTCTCTTGAAGTTTCTTTCTCCTGGGTTTAATATTGCTTTCCTGCTTTACTTTTGTTAAAATTTTTCTGCTATATCTTTTTCTAATCCTTTATTGTCAGTTTCAACCCATGTTATTTTAGGCATCTTTATTAAAAACAGCATTTGTTTGCATTTGAAGAAAAAGTAAAGTGCCTCTGTCTCATGCAATTTATTTAATCCTCTTACACTTATTGTAGGGGCTGGAGCAATAGCACAGTGAGTAGGGCGTTTGCCTTGCACACAGCCCAACCGGGTTCGACTCCTCTGTCCCTTTCAGAGAGCCCGGCAAGCTACCAAGAGTATCCCACCGACACGGCAGAGCCTGGCAAACTCTCCATGGCGTATTCGATATGCCAAACACAGTAAGAAGTCTCACAATAAAGACGTACTGGGCCCACTCAAACAAATCGCTGAACAATGGAGGACAGTGCAACAGTGCTACACTTATTGTAATTGTACATGTGTTCTACAATAAACCCCCACTAAGAGCTAAAGCAATCATTGGGAAAAAGATGAGAGGCATCACCTTCCCCAACTTCAAACTGTACTACAAAGCAGTAGTAATAAAAATAGCATGATACTGGAATAAACACAGACCCACAGACCAATGGAATAGAATTGAATATCCAGACACAGGTCCTCAAATATATGATCATTTAATCTTTGATAAGGGAGCAAGAAATATGAAATGGAACAAGGAAAACCCCTTTAACAAGTGGTTCTGGGAAAACTGGGCAGCTACATGTAAAATAATAAACTCAGACCTCTATCTAACACCATGCACAAAAGTCAGATCAAAATAGATTAAAGACCTCAGTATCGACCTGAATCCATAAGGTACCTGGAGGGAAAAATGAGCAGAACCCTTCATGAGGCTAAAGGTATCTTCAAAGATGAAACATCACTGACCAAGCAAGTGGAAGCAAAGATAAACAAATGGAACTACATTAAACTAAGAAACTTCTGCACCTCGAAAGAAACAATGACCAAGATACAAAGACAGCCCATGAAATGATAAAAAATTATTTACCCATTACCCATCGGATAAGGGGTTAATATCCAAGATGTATGCCACTGATAAAATTTTACAAGAAAAAAACATCCATCCCCATCAAAAACTGGGGAGAAGAAATGAACAGAAAATTCCTCAAAGAATTCAAATGGCAAAAAAAGGCATATGAAAAAATGCTCTACAATTTGAATCATCAGAGAGATGCAAATTAAAACAACATGAGATATCATCTCACCCCACAGAGACTGGGACACATCCAAAAGAAGAAGAGCAATCAGCGCTGGCATGGATGTGGGGAGAATGGGAGTCTCATTCTTTGTTGGTGGAAACGCCAACCAGTCCAGCTTCTTTGGAAAACAATATGAACATTCCTCAAAAAACTAGAAATTGGGGGCTGGAGCTATAGTACAACGGGTAGGGCGTTTGCCTTGCACGAGGCTGACCCGGGTTCGATTCCAGACATCCCTTATGGTCCCCCAAGCACCGCCAGGAGTAATTCCTGAGTGCAGAGTCAGGAGTAGCCCCTGAGCATAGCTGGTGTGACCCAAAAAGCAAAATTAATTAATTATAAAAAAAACAACTAAAAATTGTGCTCTCATTTGACCCAGAATGAAATGAGTCAGAAGGAAAGAGACATATATAGAATGACTGCATTAATTTGTGGGATATAAAAAAAAATAGTATGAGACTAATAACCAAGGCCAAGGAAACAGGAGGACTCATCAATGATTGGAAGCTACCACAAGTGGGAGGGCAGGAAGGGGGGCTAAGGGCAGTTAGGATAGAGAAGGGACCAGTATGACAATAATACTTGGAAATGATCATTCTGGACATGAACTAAGTGTTGAAAGTAGGTAGAGGAAAAAAACTAAAATAAAATAAATAAAAATAAGATAAAGGTAAAAGGTAAAGGCCCTCCCGTTGATTGTCGATTTGCTCGAGCGGGCCCAGTAATGTCTCCATTGGAGACTTTGTTGTTACTGTGTCTGGCGTATCGAATACGTCACGGGGAGCTTGCCAGGCTCTGCCATGCGGGCGAGATACTCTCGGTAGCTTGCTGGGCTCTCCGAGAGGGGCAGAGGAATCGAACTCGGGTCGGCCATGTTGGCTGCGTGCAAGGCAAACGCCCTACCGCTGTGCTATCGCTCCAGTCAAAAAGAACGAAAGTAGGTAAAGGGATTACATGATAACTTTTCAGTATCTATACTGCAAACCATAATGCCCAAAAGGAAAAGTGAAGGGAGGGGGCAGGGAGGGGGGGTCGAAGGGAAGGAGAGGGAGAGGGAGACTGGGGATATCGGTGGTAAGAAATGTACCCTGGTGTAGGGATGGGTGTTGTAACATGATATAATTGAAATCCAATCATAGACAACTTTGTAACTGTGTACCTCACTGTGATTCAATTAAAAATAAATTAAATTTTTTTAAATGATACAGGTGTTTCAAACATAAGGCAGTCTAAATTTTTTTAATTTAATTTTTTGTAAAGTTTTCTTGCCAAGGATTTCTCCTGTTATCTGACTGGATTTTACAAATCTTTTTCCATTAAAACCTCAGTGAGTAATTGTCTTACTCTTCACACTCAGGTTTCCTGACCCTTGTATAGTATTATTAGATTTTCAATTATTTTTCCCTTTTTTTCTAGATTATCTTTCATTCAGTAGATATTTCCTGGATCTTTACCACCTGCTAAGCACTGTGTTGTAGGGGGCACATGCAAATATTAAAAAAATAGTGCCCCTTTTCCTGAAGGAATGCCCTGAAACAGCTGAGTGAGGTCACTAATAGTCAGAATTCTAAATGTCTACCGTGATATCCACTTTTCCGATTTTTCCCAAAATTGCTAAACAGCGATTTGAAATTGGAAAGGGATTTTGCAGATATAATGAAATTTACTAATTAGTTGATTTAAGAAAAGGAGATTAACTGGTTGGAGGAAATAACTCAAAGGGCTGAAGCAATACCCGGAATGCACCAGTTCAGTTCTCAGCACTCTATGTCTCCTGAGCATACCCGTGTCCCCTGCACTACACCGGGTAAAAGGTCAGTGACCTCACCTGGGTAGACAGAGGCACAGAGACAATAAAGTGAAGAAACAGAGGTTTGTTGGGGTGCGCTCCTGGGCAGGCCTTACGGACCTCTGGGGAGGTTGGGGACATAGCCGTGCCATGGGAAAGGCTAAGCAGAACTTTTAAGTTGTCTTAGGTAGGAAGGAAACAAAGACCAGTGGGATCAGTACGCCTGGTCTGGTATTCTGTTATCTGTACGGGGTGGATATAAGAAAGCATGGAAGGCAGCCTGGCATGGGATAGGCTATCAGGCAGATAAGTACTGTCTTACGCACAGGGTTCAGGGTGAGCTCTGATTCTTGGAATGTGTAACACTATCTATCTCAACAGCCAACCATTTGGTCCCAAGCAAACCTTACACACAGCACTGCCAGTACTAAGCAACATGCCATCACTTGGCTTGAAAGAACTGAAACGATCTGGCCTGCACCACCAAACCAACTGTCACCAAGAATGAAGGCTGACCCCTGTGTGCTGCTAGGGAGACTGCCCCAAAGGGAAAAGGAAAAAGAAGGAAAGATCATTCAGGGGTACCTAACCTAATCATTTGAAGCCTTTACAGGTAATTTTCTCTGGGGGTGGAGAGCTAATACAGGGGTTAAAGGTGCTTGCCTCAAATGTGGCTAATCCCACTTTGACCCCCAACAATGAATAATTACCATTACTTTAATGGTAATTAAAAGTAACCATTAATTACTCCCCCCACCCCGCCGTGAAATTTTTTTGTTTGTTTGGTTTTCATTTTTATTTATTTATTTATTTTATTGAATCTCTGTGGGAAAAGTTACAAAGCTTTCAGGTTTAAGTCTAGGTCATGCAATCATCAAACACATTTCCCTTCACCAGTATTTATTTTTCACCACCAAGAACCCCAATATACCCCCCCTCCCAACCCTCCAAATGCTTGTGAGGCAGATGAATTCTAGTTAATACTCTATCTACTTTGATTAGATTCATTGTTTCGACAAAAGATGCGCCATTATTTTTTAGAGTTTACACCCCAAAATCAGACCTGCTGAAAAGGTATTGTGACATTAATTACTTTTCTTTTTTTCATAATTCACTGCAATGTACTATTTAAAAAGAAAACAAGCTAAGCCATCCTTTGAAGAAGAATCTCTGTTCAAAATGTTGACTTTGGAACTCAGGGCCCACCGTTTAGTAAAAGTGAGACAGAGAAAGAGAAGAGAACCTGTGGACATTATTGGCAGAGACTGGAGGAAGGGTTTTTTTTGTTTTTAAACAAACGTTTCTTAATTACTTTTTAAGTAATTAAAAAGTTTTTTTTCCTGGCTGGATGAAGAAAGCATGTAGCATAGCAAGTCAAAGCTTATGAAAAAGATTTAAAATGTAAGATTTGTCTGAGTGAGCTCCTCTGGTGACTTGAGTGTGATCCCCTGATAACAACCAGCAAGAAAATGGAGAACTTTTTTTCACAATTTCAAAGCATTGGATTCTGTCAACAATATGAACATGAGCTGAAAAGCAGATTCTTCCCTCAAAGTATTCAAACAAGGAAACTTTAAATTTGCATCAGTGAAACCTTAAGCAGATAATGCAATCAAGTCCTCCTGAATCTATAGAACTGTGGGGGAGGGAGGGGAATCTTCCAGACCTATACTGATGCAGATTCTGCAGGATAAAAAGGATTACTTGTTCTGGTTCTTTTTTTTTTTTTTTAATTAGTGAGACATCATGAGGTACAGTTGTAGACTTACAAATTTTTGTGCTTGGGTTTCAATTATACAATGATCAAATACCCATCCCTCCACCAGTGCCCATTTCCCACCACCACAGATCCCAGTATCCCTCCCACCCCCCACCCCCCACCCCCATCCCACCCTGCCTCCATGGTAGGGCATTCCCTTTCGTTCTCTCTCTCTTATTGGGTGTTGTGGTTTGCAAAAGAGGCATTGAGTGGCAATCATGTTTGGTCTATAGTCTACTTTCAGCATGCTTCTCCCATCCTGGGAGGATCCTTCCAACACCTTTATTTGGTGTTCCCTTCTCTATCTGAGCTCCCTTCTCCCCTAGCATGTGTGGTTGGCCTCCAAGCCATGGAGTAAAATTCCTGGTACTAATCTCGGCCATTCTTGGGTGTTAGTCTCCTATTTTGTTACTTTATGTTCCCCAGATGAATGCAATCTTTCTATGTCTATCCCTTTCTTTCTGAGTCATTTCGCTTAACATGATACTTTCCATGTAGTACCACTTGTATGTAAATTTCATGACTTCATCTTTTCTAACAGCTACATAGTACTCCATTGTGTAAATGTACCAAAGTTTCTTTAACCAGTCATCTGTTCTCGGGCATTCAGGTTTTTTCCAGATTCTGGCTATTGTAAAGAATGCTGCCAATGAACAAACAATTACAGATGTCACTTCGACTATACACTTTTGCCTCTCTGGGATATATTCCCAGGAGTGGTATTGCTGGGTCAAATGGGAGCTCAATTTCTGTTCTGGTTCTTTAAACTTTCCCTCACTCAAGTCAATGCCCGGGCTCCCTCTAAGAAAAATTTCATAGTGATCTGAGTCATGGATTGGAGTTTATGAATTTCTTTCCCACTAAGTTTGTTCAGCTTTGCTGCCAAGAAAGGCAGGTAGATAGGGTGGCATAAACTTCTACCAATAAAACATAAAGACAAACTCCATGAGTCACTCCAATAAACGCAGACTTTAACGTAACACATTTATTTCTCTGCCTCCATCCTTGAAAAATACCAGCAGGAGATATCACTGCTATCAAAAGTTCATCCTTATCCTATAAATTTATAAACCACCTGTGATAAAGGGAACTATAGAAACACAAAACCACATATCACAGTTTTGAATAAATAGTTGAACTAGTTGACCTTGAAAGCTTCTTTCAGCTTGAGTTTATAATAGAAGGAATTTACCAAACTTCTCTACCTCTTAATATTGTCAGCTACCTTCGTTATTATTATTACTAATATTATATATTACAAGCTTCCTTATTGTTTTATACTTGTAATGCTACCTCACCACCCCTGCCACCAGAGTATCAATAACCCTCCACCACTATTCTAAGATAGTTCCCTTCTGCCAGCTTTCTTTTTAAGGAGAGGAAGAAGACTTAGATCCTTTATCAGAATTAAATATTGATGAAATAAAGTACTTTAGAGTTAGTTTTTATATAAAAAAAAATCCTGACAATAGTATTACCTTGAGTTCCATCTTGTGCATTTTCTTGCAGGTCAGAGAAAATTGTAGGCTTCACTAAGACAACACCATAACCGTCATTATTATGAATGATGTTATTCACCATAGAGATTCGAGGCATGTCATAATGTTCATCTAAGAAATCCTGTGACATTGAAAACACATTTTAAAGAAACTGTCACATTCCATGCTGCCTGCATTAAATATCTCACTTTTTTTCAGGCTCCTCTAAAAATAAAAGTAGAAAAGCTCTGCTGATTAATATGTGATAATATAGTTTAAACCCTAAGTGACAAAGCATTTCTGTCATTTCTGCAGATCTATAGACAGCAAAGTTTTTTCTCACAAGAGACTTTCAATCACCAACTGCTAATATTATTTCAATTAGATATTGTTTGTACATTTCAAAACCAGAAAACAACAGAACCCTACAGGAGAGTTTTAATAGGACACTGTGATTCTTTAGGTGAACCTTTGCAAAGAGGGGGTTTCAAGAGGTGCTCACCTTTATGAGAATGCCTTCCTTGCAGTGATGGATCCCATTGTCACTCAGAGTGCACTTACTCCCAGGATAGATTTCAATACCAGCACCCTACAAGTTACAAATCACAATTTATCTTTATTTTGAGATTTTGGTTTTTAGGTTTGGGAGCCATACCCCACTGTGCTCAGGGTTTACTTCTGGCTGTGTGTTCAGGCTTGCTTACTCATGGGTCTGTGCTCAGGAATCACACCTGGCCGAGCTTGGGTTGCAACCAAGGAAAACTGTACTATCTCTCCAGCCTCAACACACTTTTAAGAGTAAAGACTAGTGCAAATATGAAGTGTCTTATAGAAAGTTCAACTAGCTCTATCAAAAGTTTAGAAGGTGTCTACTATGATTTACCATGTTCAAAAATCACACAGAGACACATATCACTGGCTAAGATACATACAAACACACACACACATACACACATACACCACTAGCTAAGAATAGCAACATTAAATTACTGTTCTACTCTTTTAGTTGAATAAATCAATTTTCTGATTCTGGAAAAAAAAAGGGCACTTAATTGTATGACTACTTATTCAAATTGATCAATCCAAAAACATTCAATTAGCAGCAATGTAGCACTTTTCTACCATTGTTCATCAATTTGCTCAAGCGGGCACCAGTAACGTCTCCATTGTGAGACTTGTTGTTACTGTTTTGGGCATACTGAATATGCCACAGGGAGCTTGCCAGGCTCTGCCGCAGGCGGGATACTCTCGGGACACAGAACCTGGGTCGGCCATGTGCAAGGCAAATGCCCTACCTGCTGTGCTATCGCTCCACCCATTCAATTAGTAAAGAAAAAATATCTTATTCTGGAAAATAGAATTTGAAAAAAGAAATAAGACTTAATATATTAAAAATAAACCATTTGGTGTCCAAAGACTTAGAACGGGGGTTATGGCCAGACCCAGTTCTTTCCCTGGCACTGAATATGGACCCCCCCCCCCCCACACACACACACACACACACCCAGCACCTCCAGGAGTGACCTCTGAGCATAAAGCCAGGTGTAAGCCCTGAGCACAACTGGATATGGACCAAAACCTCAATCCCTAGCCCCCAAATACACCATTTGGTGATGGTGATGGTGCAGTACTCTGGATATCAACCATAAAGTTTAACATTATTGTAACTATGTTAACATTTTAGAGAAAAACTTTTTAAAGAGCAAAATAAACCAATCAGAAACAAAAATTTTATGTGCCTGTCAAGGCTGGGGTTGCGGGGGAGGGGGCGGTGAGCAGGGGATAGCAGAGAACCTGGGAACCCTGATGGAGGACAGTAGACACTGGTGGTGGGATTGGTGCTGGAACAGAAAAAGCCTAAAAACCAAATATAAATAGCTTCATAAATCATGGTGCTTTCATAAAATTTAAAAATTTTAAAAAATAAGTGAAACTTTAAAAAATACACTACTTTTAAAATATTACAAACCTAACTTAAAACTCAACTATGAATAACTTTATAAACCATGATGTCTTAACAAAATAATTTTTTTAAAAGTGGGGCCGACGGCCCCGGAGGCACAAGGACTTAGCACAGAGAGCCACCCGCTTGGAGCAGAAAAGCAAATGGACTATGTGTTAAACCGCGCCACCATGCCTGCCCGGAGGGGAAAGGGTGTTGACCCACTCGCCCGCTCCTCTCTGGAAAGAAAGATGGCGGCCGCACGGGAGCCTTGTGGACAGCAGGTCTGAGCCGGGGGTGGGAGCGGCAGGGACCTCATGGGAAGGGGGGCGTAATGGGCCGTCCTCCACGCCCGACCGAGGTCACCAGCTGCCCCCCACGAGCGGCTCTCCCGCACGGCCACAACTCCAGAGCACAGAAACCAATCTCTTAACTATCTAACATTTAATAGAAATACTTCCAGGGTTAATAAGTAAAACAGCAGAAATCCAAAACCTCGAGGCCGCGATAGCGGCCACGTGACATCATTTTATTCTTAAACCAAGCTGTAGAAAGCAAATCATTTCACAACGCTGTTTCAGCATATCTGATTGGGGGGGGGGGGGGGGGGTCGTAAACTCTAAACAATAATTGTGCATCTTCTATCGAAACAATGTATCTAGTCAAAGTAGATAGAGTATTAACTAGAACTCATCTGCCTCACAGGAATTGGGAGGGGTGGGAGGTGGGGTTCTATTGGGGTTCACGGTTAAAAATAAGTATTGGTAAAGGGAAATGTGTGTGATACTTACATGACTGAGACCTAAACCCGAAAGCTCTGTAACTTTTCCCACAGTGATTCAATAAAGAAATAAATTATAAAATAAAATAAAAGTGGGGCCGGAGAGATAATAGAGCAGGAATTCTTGCCTTGCTCTCAGCCAACCTGGTTTCGATCCCAACCATCTCACATGGTCCCCTGAGCACCACCAGGAGTAATTCCTAACTACAAGGCCAGATGTAATCCTTGAGCATCACCAGGTGTGGCCAAAAATAAAAAAACCAAAAAAAAAAAAAAACCCTCACCCCCCAAAAAAATTAAGTTACTTGAGAGCCCGGCAAGCTATTGAGAGTATCTCGCCTGCACGGCAAAGTCTGGCAAGCTCCCCGTGATGTATTCGATATGCCAAACACAGTAACAAGTCTCACAATGGAGACGTTACTCGACCCGCTCGAACAAATCAATAGTAGTCAAATAATAGATTCTCCTTCAAATTATATATAAAAATTAGCAGTTATTTAAAGTGTTTCATTTTTGCTACATTAACCAAAATGATCCATGCAAGGTTCAATTCTCTTCCTGTTTTTTATTATCATAAGATATCAATAAAAAGGCAACAGGAATAATTTATACCAATGCTATTAGGATAGACAATTTAGGAAACAGAAATGATTCACTAAAAACATATATAGTTGGGCAGGGTATAGCTCAGTGGTGCAAAAACTAAAAATACACTAACATGCATGATGCTTTTGGTTCACTGGCAATACAACAAAACAAAACCACAAAGCACACCAAAAAAACTTGTATTCTTATTTAAGAAATAATTTTGGAAATAATTTAATTCACAACATTATAAACATATTGCTGTTTAGCCATTTATGATATGCTGTGTTTTTTTTAAAGTAGGAGAAATAGCACAGCAGGTAGGGCATTTGCCTTGCACGTGGCCAACCTGGTCAGCCCAGGTTCGATTCCTCCACCCCTCTCGGAAAGCCCAGCAAGCTACCGAGAGTATCTCGCCCATACAGCAAAGCCTGGCAAGCTACCCGTGACGTATTTGATATGCCAAACACAGTAACAAGTCTCACAATAGAGATGTTACCGGGCCCGCTCAAGCAAATCGATGAACAATGGGAGGACAATGCTACAGTGCTACAGTAGTGTGCCACAAAAAAATATTTATTATTATTTCCCATGTTGGGGACTACTAGAACTATCTGAAAAGTCTACTACATACCAACCTAACTTTTTTTTTAAATTGAATCACCGTGAGAACAGTCACAAAGCCTTTCAGTTCAAGTCTCGGTCGGTCATACAATGATCCTTCACCCCTTCCAGTGCACATTTTCCACCACCAAGAACTCCAGTATACCCCCCACCCACCCACGCCCACCTGTGTGGCAGATTTCCACTTTCTCTCTCTCTCTCACTCTCTCTCTCTTTCTCTCTCTCTTTCTCTCTCTCTCTCCATTGATCACATTTAATATTACGACAAAAGACCCAACATTGTTATTTGGAATTTTCCCCACATTCAGACCTGCCACAAAGACATCATTAGATAATTGGTTTTCTATTGCTAATTATGAAGAGCATATGATGTCATGTGGCCACAATAGCGGCCACGTGAATTTGGATTTCTGATATTTTAGTAATAAACCTAGAGGGATTAGTGCCAGAAGCCCCTGGGTTCCAATATTAGTATGTATGCCTCTGGGTTCATGGTAGGTCAGAGCCAGAGGAGGCATTTGAGGGCGGCAACCCGGAGCATTGTCATGGCGGGGAGAAGGGCCGATTCCACCCTCCATTCCATGAAGCCCCACATGCCTCGTCAATGCAGTCTCATACCTGACTGTTCATTAGGCTCTAAAAGATGCAGGCCACCATGCCACCGCTGCAAAGGGAGACAGGCAGGGGGACAGACACCCTTCGCCTCCAAGGGCGGCATAGCACCATAGTTAAATACACAGTCCAGATGCATTTTCCAACCTAACTTCTATTGAAGGATAAAAATATAATGCCAAGTGGGTCTTTAGCTACAAAATTCTTAATTTAGGGCTATGCAGAAAAAAGATTTAGAGATGACTGCATTAAAAATACATGTATAGAGAGTACAACAGTTAAAATGTCATTTCAAATTATTAGAAAACATAAAATTTTAAAAAGAGAACAACTTAAGTCAGCAATGAAACAACCCTGTTAAAAAAATGTGATGACACTGAACAGATATTTGGTAACTAAACACTAACTGAAGATAAAGTCACTTTTAGTATGATAGATAAATTTCCCTCCTGCTGGGTCCAAGTACTAACCATAACATTATCTATAAAACAAACAGACGGAAAAACGAAGAAAGAACTGAGGCCAGAGAGATAATACTATGGGTAACTAATGAATAATACAACAGTTGTCTTGTATGCAACCAACTAGAGTTTGTTCCTCAGCATCCCATATGGCCCACCAAGCACCTCAAAGAGTGATCCCAGAGAAGAGGCAGAAGTAACTCTGAGCATCGAGGAGTGTACCAAACCCTCAACCCCATCCCCATAAAAAGGCAGACCGGCCAGGACCCTCATGATCTGAGGAATGACTCCAACAACACAGTAGGAGTTGCCTGGATTAGCTTTTTGCCTCAAATTCCTTGACTTGGAGGTAAAGAACTGGCAATCCACCACTAGCAAAGACCAGAAAAGCCTCCCACAAGTCCAGTCTGTTATGCCAAAGAAACAGGCAACTTAAAAAGACAGAAAATTTTTAGACAACAGGTCTGAAAATATCACAGAAAAACACACACACACACACAGAGAGAGAGAAAAACCCAGCAGCCTACCCTCATTCATACCAGCAAAGACCAAGAAGAGGGTATCTAGATTCCTGAGCTTCTCAA